TTTTTGTTTTCTTTCGAAATTCGGTTATTATATAGGTTCCCGGAAAGAGGTACGCGCCACCAGCCGAGGTTTCGAATAGCTGTTGCAGACGAATAGAAAAAAATCACGAAAAGTCATCCAATAAGCCTCTGTATTACTTCTCATTAGTTGAGAAGGAAGAAGACAAAGAAGAAGCTGTGGAGACTCGTTTGGTCATCCAAATGGACACTGAAAGTTCCATAATCTACCAAAAGAAATGTCTCGGTTTTGATTATGAGAAACCCTTGCAAGTAAGAATATACTAATACCATTATGCGAAAAAATGTGCATATAATGAGTAGCTCTCGTTCGGTTTTGGATTTTTCGTTTTTGCATAACAACATTGTTAGTTCTTTATTTATTAGCAAAAATGGCTAATATATCTAACTTCTAATGTACGATTTATTATTTTTTTTTATTCAATGTTCGACAGGTAAAAGGGGACGTGCGCTTGATTTTTTACGAAAAGCTAACGGGAGGTCGTTTATTCTATGTCTGCTTTAACACAACTTTCATAACTGGCAGCTTACTGCAGGTACATTTTCTACATTTTATTTCATTCATGTTGGTTTTCAAATTCTTTTACTTATTTCATTAACTACATATGTAAAAAGAAGTACGCATTTTGAATGTGTTTATACGGAAACTTGCAGTTCTCGGTTAGGGATTTAGACAAAGTCGGTAAAAGGGGTCGATCGATATGTGGGCCTTCATTCTGCCTTGAGCTGTTTTTCGCTCCCTCGTACGCTGATTGCTTGGTGTCTCCATCAAAAGGCGATGTTCTTTGTCGAATTTGAGTGATTTTTTGTATTATTGAGAAAAATTATTCAGAAGTTGTTAATTAATCAGTGAATTTTTGTTGCTTGGATGTGAAGAGTTCATCCCCCTGTGCATTTGTAGCTGTCTTCTTGTTCAATTTTTTATTTTTTTTTAATGTATATTTTTTATTTCAAACTGTGAATAAATTTGAGAGAAGTTTGTATCTGTAGACTGTAGTTAAAGATCATAAGTGGAAAAATGTGGATAGAGATTATAGTATATTGGCCCTGTTTGTTTTTCAGCTTTTTGCCCTCAAAAGAGCTTTTTCATCAATTTAGCTGTTTGACTTTTTTAATAAGCTAAAAAAAGCGTTTGGTAAATAGATGTTACAAATAGCTTTTTGGTGTCCAAAAGCCAAATTACAAAATGTTGGTTTGAGCAGCGTTTTGGATTCAGCTTTTCAATAAAAGTCTTGATTGTCCTTAATTTTTATCTCCACGTTTCAAAAAAAAAAAAAAAGAAAGAAAGAAAAAGAAAATATAGCAGCGTGTTTAACAAGAGTGGAAAGTGATGTAATATAAGGGAGTCCATGGGCAGATGCACACTCTATCAATGAGTTGTTTAAAAGTTGAATATGAGTTAAAAATAAAATACTTATTACAAATACTAGAATTTTATGTACTCCTGTATGCCATCAATTTCCTTACAAAAGAGCTATTGTGTGTATTTTTTTTAAATGTTTGGATCAAATATATATTTTTTATTTGCTTCAAGTTTGATGGCATCTAGACGTCGTTCTTACAGTATTTGTTTTTTTCCTTTTATTTTTTAATTTTTAATTATAATAGCGAATATCGCAATTGAGCCACATTTATATTCTCTATTCGTATGACTTCTTGTTGGCCTTGTTTATATGGCGTGAACTTATTTACTCGATTATGAAATATTTTCAGTTTATTATTATTTATATATTTTTTCATATTTAAATTATTTTAATTTCCTAAATAATTATAAGTTCAACATAAATTAGGATGATAAAGTATGTTGATGTCCTTATAGGTAATTTTACACGTTAACAGCTAATTAAAAAAACTATTTTACCAAACACTTTTTAACAAACCGCTAACATGATCAGCTGGTCAAAACAGCTAATGTAATCTGCTGGTCAAAACAGCTAATACAATCAGCTAACAGTTAACAGCTAACAGCTAATTACCAAACAAAGCCATTGACTAGTACTAACGCCTACCTGTGTACTACACGGTTGCCAAAATCTAAAATAATAAGAAAAAGTAGTTGAAAATTTAAATATTTTTTATTAAAACGTATATATATTATATATTTAGTATGATACATTTTATTTGTGCGACTTACATGTGTTATATTATAATAATTTTTTTAACTTACAACATATAACTACATTAAACATAAATATATCAATTGAGAAATAATTATATTTTTCTAATGAATTTTAATAAATATTATTATTTTTTATTATTATAATGATAAATATAATTTATTTATTTCATATATACAATATGGATGTCAAATCTAAGATCATCAAAAGATGATTAATTTTATATATTTTATATGTAAGATCGATAAAAAATACAAAAGTTATCAACTTTTAAAATACGTTTATAATTCAATAGCTAATTGAAGGAAACAAATCAAAAGTCGGGGATATATTAGTCACTTAGTGCCTCACTATGTAAAATTACAAAGAATTAAATGGTTATATTAATACAAGTGATATTAAATACCTAAGTTAGCTAAATAATATTTATGGAATGTTCGAATCTAGATTATTAATTATTAATATATCAATATTATTTGTTCAAACCTAATTACAAACATGATTTTTCGTCAAGTAGGATTATGAAACACCAGAAATAACCACGTAGACTCAGCGCATTCGGGAATTATATATAGATGGATTTCAATAATTTTGATATCTAATAAACATTTTTATATTAAAATTATAGAGAAGTGGCCTAAAGTATAGAGAAGTTTTATAAATATTATATAAAATGATTATTTTTTTTTATTTTAAAATTATTATAGCTCCAAATTTTTCACATTTGCACCCACTTCAGAAAAACTTGTTACTTACTTTACAACCTATGGCTATTAACTGAAATTTTAATTATATAAAAACTGAAACAAATCCCATAAAATGAGTTAATCTGTAGATTTAAAAAAGAAAAGATCAATTGGCTGAA